TTGTTTTTCGCTTGCTTCACATACTCCATGTTTTCTCGCACTTCTTCAATTTATTCCTTCCGCTTCTCTTATCTTTTCTTTTGTTTCCTTCCAATTTCTTCTGCTTGCTTTTCAACATGACGATTGTTTCGTTCGGGGTGAAGTCAAATGAAGTGAGTCAGTTCGAGAATGGATGAATGAATAAATGTTAAATATTGAATGCACTAGTCACTGTACGATCATACGATACGATTAAATGATATTTTCTGATGAGTTTTTGCCTCTGTTCAAACACGCTTTGCTCAGTTATGAATGTTTCTTGCTGTGTTACATCGTCATCATCGTTATTGCTATCGTCACCTTAGAGAAATGAAGAATCGTCACCTTTCCAAATATCGGCAATACAGTTGACGAGAGAGACGAAGAATCTTGGACAAATTCAACAAGAATTGCATGCAAATCGCTGGTGCAGCAGCAACAGTTGATGATGTTTAAAAAATCAAACTAGTTCCGTGCTTCCTTCCGTTTGTATTTTATATGGAAAGGGTTGGGTTGGGTTCCGTTCGAAGAGACTGCGCGATGCGCGGTAAGATGGATGAAGGAAAATATCTTTCTTTGATCATATCATAAAAATTGACTGATTTATCATAACGTTCCAATGAATTCATCAAAAAGTTCAACTACAATTGATGAATGAGAAAAATGCGAGAAACAGAAGAAGAAGAAATGATCAAGAATTGAATAGTGTGAATGAGAGATCGTTCTTCTTCAGCAGATTTGTCTTCACGAACTGGCACACACACACACCATGAAGATTTCAGTTCCACTGAATTTTTCATGCAAATACGCATGAAATCTCGATCTATTCAAACTGTTTCTCTCCTGATCGATCACTTTTTCTAACAATTCTTTCGAGATCACAAAATTCCCTCTTAGGTCCCCAGTTCTCATATTGCTCTATCACCATTCTTTTGCTCTCAATTTCTCACAATTTCACCAAATCACTTCTCGTATTTTTCGAAATTCTTTGTCCACTTTTCAGAGTTTTCACTTGAGATTTCATTCCCTACCGTTGCCGCTCGGTTTCCCTACTGTATTTGCTCTGTTGTTTTGTTGAAGATTTCAGTTCCACTGAATTTCTCAAGATATTCTTGCCTTCATTCGTCTCAAAACTCGCCTCCTCGAGAGCGTAACTGAGAAGCATGAACTGATGAGTAATCGACAATTAACGAAATTTTTTTCTATCTATACCAAAACCAAAATAACAAAGCAAAAATCAAGGTCATATCTCTTGGTAATTACGATGACTAGAAAGGCGTCAATTGAGTACGCTATTGAGCAGAGTACAGAGGCAAAGTCAGTCTTCCTGGTGAAATTATTCACGTTCTCTTTGTTAATCAAAAATTTGAACTTTAGTTTTGGTACTTCGTATTTTACTAACAACTCACTCGTCACCAAAATCATTAAAATTTTACTCATCGTCAGATTTCAAATCGCAATTTCGTCCTAATCATCTGTGTAGGCAGTTCGTAGCTTTTCAAATGTGTGATCATTTGGACTTACTTCTTTCTATACGACGAACCAGTTCACTCAACCGAAATATCGAATTTTGTCTGGCAGTACACTAATTTTCGGTTATCTACCAAAGGTGTTGAATTTATTTAGTGCATTTTCTGGTGCAATAACCATCAGCCAAAATGTCAAAATTATTCTATAGCAGCCAGCCATCGATGAAGTGCATTGATCAGTGGTCAACTGTTTGAATAACGCTCAGAAGGATACTGTATATGCGTGACACGAGCGCAGCAGTCGCTGATTGAATTCAGTGTTTTTGATAGTCTGGGAAAGGGAATAGTTAAAGCTCAATTGAGTGAAACGTCGACTCTCAGGAAATTATATTTTGAACTGGACTCGCCGAGCGCGCATCTAGTTGGAATTGTTGCTGGAGAATTATATTTTTATCCGCTATTTTCATTCTACTAGTTGAAGGACGCACAAATCCAAACAGCATCGCAATGCTGATCAGTTTGTAAAACCACGTCAAGGTATCGGATCTATAAAGACTCAAATTCAAGACCATGGTTTACGGTTTTCAAGTGACTTTGAGAAGTTTTGAACTTTAAGATGAACTTGTTCTCCGCTCAGTCATGATGAGGATATGATGTCGCCCAATTGTTCGTGTCAGTTTCAATTCCCGTTTGGGCATGTAGACACATTATGCAAGTCCTCACCGCACGACTCAAGATCGCTCAATATCAGCAAGATACTTTCTCAATTTGAGTCGACCAAAAGCTTTTTCGAAGATCAACAGTGCGAAATCCTTTAAAGTAAGCGAGAATTTCAAGTAATATTGAGTAAAATGAGTAGAAAACCTACTATTTGGCCATGATTCGTAGTCATATGGGGTATGATCGCTCCAAACGTAGTCTTTCGATGAACCAAACTGCGCGTTACCAAGCCAAACGGTCTCGGCGCCTCGTGCCAGTTCTTAAATTGAAATGAAATATTATTAATACCGGCTGATTCCCAATCAAACTAGTGATCAGTTCCTACTGATTTTAAGAAGAAAACACTAGTAATAATCATTCACCACATTATCTGTCAAAATCGATTCTCGTTCCGTTCACTCGAGACAATATCGTGAGCATTTCCACATTTGACTGCTTTAAATTTTCACAAAAATATTTAGTAAAAGAGAAACTTTGATGATTTTATGCATCTTTTTACTAATGGCACTGTTTGTTTATTTTTGCAACATGATTTTGAGTCTGTGTACATTCATCTGAATA